AAAAAAAAAAAAAGAAAGATCAGATTCTTCACAGAGAGAAACTCTCTGCCAGGAGTCCACTCTCGCGCGTGGGGACCTTCTAGGGTAGAGTGTATCTGCTCCTTACGTTTCCCTCGGCTGTAAATCTTTATAGGAGCAGACAGCCTCATCTTTTCCCCAGAACTGGCTGGTGGGCTTGAACCACTGACCCAAAAGGCTCCTTGAGAGAGAAAAGCCAGCACAGAGGAGGAGGAAGAGCCAGCGGCCTCCTGGAGAGGATCAGGGAACTGAGATCGCCAAGGTGACCAGGCTCTTCCCTGGGGCTACAGAACACACCTGCCCCCTGCATCCTGTGTCCTGATTTCTGACCTCGAGCTGAGAGAAAACAAACCTCTGCTTTCTAACGACGCCCACTTGAGGGCACAACAGTACCAAGGAACTGAGGCATGCGGGGAAACAGTCACGGGTAAACAGACAGACAAACACCTTGTGGGACTGATTTACCGGGTGTGAAGCTCTGAACCATCGCCTCCTGGGACAGCTCTCCAGTTGGCACAGCAGTCTGTCTGGTTTATGTTTGGTTAAGTAGTATCAGGGGGTCTGAAGAGCTTGGGAGCAGTGGTCTAAGGTACAACTCTTGGTTTGGAGCCAAAGAGATAGGAAGGAAATCAAAGGTTCAGGGCAAAGGGCAGTCTTTGGGACCAGTTGCCTCCAGGAACCAGAGCCCCACTTGTCCAGAGACCAGAAGAATTCGCTAGCTCCCGGCTGCTGCCGTTCAGGCGAGGAACATAATACATAGTCCCAGATAGAATTAAAAAAAAAATCGTAGCCTAAAACTCAAAATCTTACAACACAACGATCAGACTTACTGGACCAGCTGAGACCTGGGGAACCCCTAAGACTATCACCCTGCACGACCCTTAAGAAGACTTGGAACTGACACTACTGCCAGCGGCCACCTTTCAACTAAACAACAGACTGGCTCATCGCCCGCACAATATCACCCGCGAGGACTGCGCTGCTTTTAGACCAAAACAAAGCAGTCGTGTGTTTGACACCAGGCAGTCAAGAGTTACCCTAACGCAGACCTGAGACGTTCGGAGCTAGGAAAGCAAGAATAATGCAGGCAGCACCCCAAGGACTGACTTAATAAGAATGTTGATTCAATGTGGAAACGGTAACCAACATCACTGAACAATAGAGGTAGAAGTCGTTACATTCAAACTAATTTGTTGTATACACTTTGACCCCCAAACTCAATAAAATCTGAAAAACAAAAACGTATGGGGTACAGTTCTCTCTCTTTCACACACGGGATTTGGGGCTGTTTTGTGCCGTTATTCATGAATTCCTGTCAGGTCAGCACCCCACCTACAGCTGAGCTTCAACGCCATCTGGTCCTGCCCCAGCTTCCCGGGTGCCCCAGTCAATTCTCAGTGCCCTCTGTCCCAGGGGGCCGTTTGCCAGCACTAGGAGTGCAGGAATCTGTTGTGCGTCCCGGGGCGCGTGCTGGCAGCTCTTGAGAAACGGATCACAGGGCCTTTCTATTCTTACGTCTGGAAGCTCTGCTGAAACCGGTTCACCCCGGCTGACCTGGCTGGTGTTTGAAATCCTTGGTGGCAGAGTTTCCAGCATCACGGCAAGGAGGAAGCCACCACAGTAGGATAGACTGCCAGTGGTAGAAAGTGAGTGCATCATCCCATGCCGTTTTGGGGAGAGACAAAAGCAATGATTCATTGTTTATCAGACATTTGGATTGCACAGGTGCATGCAAAGGCTACGTGGAGTGTGTGTGTGTGTGTGTGTACATGTTGTGTAGAGGACCCTGCCTCCGGTGATGGCAGCGTTAGGCTCTCATGCCCTTGCAGGGAGGGAAACGTGCCTGTTTGTGGGGAGTGGGGAGGGACTTCCCTCAGCTGCACAGCCCTGCTGGTGGAGTGGATTACAAACGGGGCTTCCTACCGCAAAGCCAGCATTTGGAACCCAGCAACTCCCCTGAGGGAGAAAGAGAAGGCTTTCTTCCCATGAAGACTTACTCTCAGAAACCCACAAGAGCCGTCCCCCCAATCCTACAGGGTTGCCGTGAGTCAGAGCGCATCCGATGGCCCGGAGTTTGAGTTCCCTCAGCTGCAGAGGACAGCGGGAGGGAGGGATTGTTCAAACTGGTGACTCCACACACCCAACTTGTTATGTAACCCGCTTAACCACAGCCACCCAAGGCTACCAAGTCTGGGGCCACAAGGACGACACCTGTGGGTCAGACAAATAGGGCAAGATGCTAACCACCTTCTCTTCGTCCCGCTTTTCTGTATTCGAAACTTTTCAGGAGAATAGAAGTGAAGGAAGGTCCAGAGGGCCTGCATCTTGAGGTGATTAGAAGGCACAGAAGCCTGAGGATTTGGCAACCAGCTAGGCCAGCTGCACATTCCTGGGGAGGGCGGCGTGATCGCTGCAAAGAACCGGCCAGGCATCGCCAAGATCCATACCGCGAGGGCTGAGACCCACAGAAGGAAATGCTTATCTGGTGAGAGAGCCGTCTCTGCCAGGCCTGCTTCCTCTTGCAAACATACCTTGCAGGTTGCCCCGATCAGCCTCTGTTTTCTTAGAAACAATGGACTGGAGCCCTGACCTCCGTTTTTGACCTTTTCGCAAACTGTGGCCCACAAACTACAAAGGGAGACTGGGATTCTCGTTTTTTTTTATTTTCTTATTTTGAAGCCGGAAGTCCTCGTTTTAAGCAGTCTTCCTCATTTTAATGGTCCAGGTCGGCTTCCTGTCCTCTCACAAAGGCCCCGCTGTACTATTCATCTGAAGCGAGTCTTTGTTGTCAGTTTATAGTATTTTGTGTGTGTGGGGTGCCAACACAGAAAGGGGCGGAAGCTCCAAGACAGACTGACATGGATTGAGTACATGTTGGGATACTTAGACCTGAACCAATAAATAAGATCTGGTGAGAAACAGGCTTTCCCCCCCTCGGCCGTCAGACTACTGTGGATCAAATCCAAACCTGCTGCTCTGAGTTCGGTCCAGTCCATGCGTTACCAGTGCAACGGTGCCCGGGGCTTTGAGAGGTCACAATCGTTCAGGCTGTAGACTACCAGGCCCGTCTTCTGTGGTGTCCACGAGTGGCTTCAAGCAACCAGCCTTTAGGTTAATAGTAGACCACAAACTGTTTGTGCTACTAGGGAGTTTACCAGTGTAGCTCACTCACTCACTCACTGTTCTTGAATTAATTGGAACTCATCGAGACAGGGTAAAACTACCTTGGGGGTTTCCACGGTGGTAAAGGAGCAGAAAGCCTCATCTTTCTCCTTCAGGGTGGTTGGTGGGCTTGAGATGCTGACCTTGGGGTTAGCAGCTCAATGTGTAATGCCCTTTGCTAGTGCAGACTGGTTTTGAATCTGGTTCCCTTTTGAGTTGTAAGAGGGGCCCTGAGAGTGTACTGGTAGTACGTTGGGCTGCTAACCACAAAGTCAGTCGTTAGAAATGACCAGCTGCCCTGCGGGGAGAAACGGGAGGTTTCTACTCCCATGAAGAGTTACAGTCTCCAAACCCCACGGGGGCAGTTCTACTCTGTCCTAGAGGGTCGCTGTGAGTTGCTTCATCTTGAGGTTTGGGTCTGGTTTTGCTGAGTTATAAAAAGAGCAGCACACACACACCCCACCCCACCCCGGATATTTGTTAAAGCAACATCTCACGCTCAGCAGAGATGGCTTCTCCTTCAAGAAGCCCTCCGAAGCTTCCTGCTCACCTCACCTACCCAGGTGTAAGGAGGTGACTTGTGCCCGCCCTGCATTTTGCAGGTGTTGGGAGCCTCACCACCCAGGGTATCAGTAGGTGTGATCTTGTTTGGGAACAGCCTTTTCTTTGTTTCTCAAATGAGGCCACACCCGTTCAGATGAGTCTCAAACCAGGCTCTTGATGAAAGGAGTGATTTGGGCACCCAAGGAAGCCCTGGTGGCACAGTGGTGGTGTCTTGGGCTGCGAACCACAAGGTCAGCAGTTTGAAACCACAGGTTGCTCTTTGGGAGAGAGATGAGACTTTCTACTCCCGTACAGAGTGACAGCCTCAGAAACCCCCAGGGGCAGTTCTACCCTGTTCTACAGGGTCGCTGTGAGTCAGAATAGATGGGTGGCAGCGACTTTGGTAGTTTGCTTGCTTGTTTTTGGGAGTAAGCTAGCAGGAAATGGAGACAGGAACACTGCTGGCCGAAGGCGCTGAGACAAGGGCTGTCCCCCAGGGTAGAAGGACCAGGCTTCCCTCCAGCCTGTGTGCTGAATTTGGACTTCTAGACCCCTGGACAGGAAGAAAATCCATTTCTATAGGCTAAAGGCACCCACGTGTGGTATGTCTGTTCTAGCAGCACTAAGACACCCTGCCAGAGGAAGAACAAGTGAACTAAAATCAATGGAAGGTCGTAGGATGCCTAGTGGGGCTCAATCAAGGGCAATGTAGCAGCGAGGATTTACTAAACCCGAATGAAGGCTGAATATGATGGTGGGCCAAGAGGGGAGTAAAAAGGAAATAGAGGGAAAGAACATTTATAGAAGCCTAAATACAGGATGTCCATATGGAAATATATATATATATATAATGAGAGGGAAATAGAACTATGTACTCGAATCTATATGTTAAGAATTGAGGTTGCAGATGGACATTGGGCCTTGACTCAACTACTCCCTTAGCACAAGAACACTTTATTCGGGCAATGAATGTACAAATACGCTTTACACAATTGATGTATGTATGGATTGTGATGAGTTTTATGAGCCCCTGATAAAATGATTAAGAAAAAAAGAGAAAATGATGATGCAACATATGTACAAATGTGCTTGACACAATGGGTGGATGTAGAGATTGTGATAAAAGCTGTAAGAGTCCCCAATAAAATGATATTAAATTATATAGAAATAAAATCTAATAAAAAAAGGACACTTTATTCTAACAATCCAGCATTCTGTGATGATCACCTTCCCAAACACAATCACTGAAGACAAATGGGTGCATAAGCAAATGTGGTGAAGAAAGCTGATGGTGCCTGGCTATCACAAGATATAGCATCTGGGGTCTTAAAGGCTTGAGCATAAACAAGTGGCCATCTAGCTCAGAAGCAACAAAGCCCACATGGAAGAAGCACACCAGCCTGTGTGAGCACGAGGTATCGATGGGATCAGGTATCAGGCATCTAAGACCCAAAACAAAACCATACCATTGTGAATGGGGGAGGGTGGGGGGCATGGAGTGTTGATCCAATGCCCATCTGTAGACAATTGGACATCCCCTCACAGAGGAGTCACTGGGAAGAGATGAGCCAGTCAGGGTGCAGTATAGCACCGATGAAACACACAACTTTGGTTCTAGTTCTTTGGTGCTTCCTTCCCCCACTGTCATGACCTCAATTCTACCTTACAAATGGATTTAGTCCAGAGCATACACACTGCTACAGATAAGAGCCCGCAACACAGGGAATCCAGGATAGATAAACCCCTCGGGGCCAACAATAAGAGTAGAGATACCAGGAGCATTAGGGGAGGGTGGGGGGAGAAAGGGGGAATCAATCACAAGGATCAAGCTAGAACCCCCTCCCAGGGACATGAATCACGGAAAAGTGGGTGAGGGGTGATGGAGGACAATGTAAGATAAGAAAATAATAATCTATAACTTATCAAGGGTTCATGAGGGACGGTGGGTGGGGGAGGGAGTGGAAAGAAATGGGGAGCAGATATGAGGGGCTCAAGTGGGAGGAGAATGCTTTGAAAATGATGATGGTGGCATATGTCCAAGTGTGTTTGACACATTGGAGGGATGTATGGATTGTGATGAGATGTAAGAGTCCCCAACAAAAGTACTAAAAAAAACAACAACCCAGTAATCCCAGAAAGCCAGGAAGAGTCACTCTCTGGGCCTGCCCTCTCCTCCAGGAATCTCCCCCTGCCCCCCCACCCCCTCTCCCCATGGCCTCACATCCTCAGGTCATCCTGGAAGGGTAGGAAGAGCCACTTCTTGGGCATGTCCCTGAGGAACTGGTCCTGCTGCTCTTGCGTGGGGTCCTGGGAGACGTACACCAGCGCCAGCTGGGCGGCCCGCACCACGTAGAACTCATCGGTGAGCTGTACGAAGAAGTCCCTGAGCAGCGGCGCAAAGGCCTGGCAGCGTGGGCAGCCCCCCGCGCCGAAGAACAGCAGCACCAGCCGGTTGTCCAGCCGCTGACTGAGTTCCTCGTCCGTGTCCAGTTCGTCCTGGTCACTGTTGTTGCGGATCAGGACCCGGCCAGAGAACAGGGAGGCCATGACTGGGCTCAGGGGATGGAGTCAGAGGACTGGTTCCGACCTGGTCAGCTGGTTCCTCTCCCGGGACAAAGGCTGGCTTCGGACCTCACTAATCTGCTTAGACGCTGACCTGTGGGGCCACCAAGGACAAGGGGCAACAGCTCCCAACCCGGGCTGGCCCTGTGGTCCCTCCCCTTCTCAGGGGTGTGTTGCCAACTGGAATCAAGCATCCCGAATACAAACACAGCCACAGGGTTTTGGTGACGTCCGCGCCTCTGTCCCCAAGGGCGGCCAGTGGATTCTGGCTCAGGCCCACCTTGTTGTGCTGGGGATAATCTGGCTCCCCCGGGTTTTTATTTCCCGTAACATTTTATTAGGGTCTATGTGAAAGTTTCCACCGCAGGTCAGACTCCCATTCAACAATTGCACCGGTGCGTCAGCGGCATGGGTGATGCTGCCCTTGGCAATGAGTAAAAATCAAACCCAAACCACTGCCATCGGGTCCAGCTGACCCACAGCAGTCACAAAGAGCAACGTAGAATGCCCCTGGGACTTTCTGAAATGCAACTCTTTGTAGCGGCAGAAAGCCCCGTCTTTCTCCCACAAATCAGCTGGTGGTTTTGAACTGCTGACCTTGCGGTTAGCAGCCCAATGCATAACCACTACGTCACTGGAGCTCCTTGCAGCTGGTGAACAGCCTTGGTTCTGTCTGCTCCACAGGGCTTTCCGGCCAGGGATCTTTCAGAACCGGATGGCCTCGGTTCAACAGGCGATCTTTTAAATCAAGTACTGAGCGCTGAACTGTCTGCGCCACTCAAGTCCCAGAAATCCCACTGCCCTCAAATCCATTCGGGCACATCATTTCGGGCCTCCGTCGGGTGTCCGAGGCTGTCCATCCTCACAGGAGCAACTGCGGGGTGTGATCCGCAGCGCCACCAGGGACTCCCCAAGGGAGACTCCCGAGCAACCCAATCTTTGAGTCATTTTCACGTGGAAATAGATGTGCTTCTCCACTGGTACAGGAAGTCATCCTGATTAGCAGAGGATCTGCTAATTACCCACCACCACCACCACCACCACCACCCCTCACTGCCAGCCCACCTTATGATGTATTCGAGTGGCGAGGAAGGGAGGAGCCGGCCTTACGGCCATCTGTTCTGCTTGGTCATGTACCATGTGCAAGACCTGGCTGGCTGATGTCACCGCTCTCACATGTTCACCAGCAGATGTTTCTGTGTGTGGTTTCTGACCCCTGAAGACAAAGAGAGATCAGGTCTTATCAGGGTCCTGATCAGTAGAGTGAACTGGGAAAAGGTCAGGATTTTCACCTGTGGCAGATCCAATGGAGGGCAAAGGGTGGGGCAAGGCATCCTGTTACAGATCAGAAACGATGTGTCTGTTTCAAATCAAACAACATTTTTCTGGTCGTAGAGTAATAAAAAAGGGAAAGTAAAACTGGAGTCAAAATTCAGACTATTATACCACCTGACCGAGAGTCTTCAGCAGAACAACACAATCAGGAATATATCCACTAGGTCCACACATCCAAGGTCTTGCATGACCCGTGTTTCACCCAACCAAACCCACTGCCATCAAGCCAACTCAGCGATCCTACATAGGGTTCTCGGGGCTATCAATCCTGCCCAGAGCAGACAGCCTCATCCTTCTCCCAAGGAGCAGCTGGTGGGTTTGAACCACTGACCTTGTGATCAGCAGCCCGCGTTTGTGCTGCTGTGAGTGCTGGTTTAAAACCATGAAGGGCAAACTGCGAAGTCCCACTGGAGTTTCACTCACGCCATTAAGGCCTGGTAAAGGGTCCCTATCCTGACACGCCCCCTCCCCTCCCCTCCCAGGTTTGTTTCCAACCAGCCCCTGGGCGGATTAGGCTCCTAAATCAGCACCGGCCATGCCCCAGCCTGTTACGAATTCATGGAGCTGCTCAGAGCAGAGTGATCTCAATGGTGGCCGAGTCCCAGTCAGTGCTCACGAGGCCCCGGGTTCCTGCCCTCCGAGCAGCTCCCCGCGCCTGAAACCTCGACCCAGCCGGTAGGGAAGTCCTGCCTCAGAGAGATCCATGTAGATGGATCACCCCACAAAAGCCATCTGTTAGGGGTGCAGAGTCGAGTTGAACCTGACCGGAGTTTCTGCCTATCTTGGAGTTTCCAAACAGAAGCACTCCTGGCATCTGGTTCTGGAATGTTCTCTGTTGCAAGGCTGACCTGTGCACAGCAGGGTGTGGAGTGTCATCTCTTGATTCCAGCTGTTCAATGCCAGTAACAGCTCCCTTTTCCCTCTGGTGGTGCAGTGGGCTGAGTGTTAGTGCTACTAACCATAAGATCTGTGGTTCAAACCCACCGTGGCTGCCCTGGGAGAAAGATGAGGCTGTCTGCTTCTTTAAAGATTCAGACATGAACAAATAATAATTTATAAATTATCAAGGGCTCGTGAGGGAGGGGAAAAATGAGGAGCTGCTACCAAGGGCTCAAGTAGAAAGCATATGTTTTGAGATGATGGCAGCAAATATACGAATGTGCTTGACACAATGGGTGGATGGATGGATGGTGATAAATGTTGTACAAGCCCCCAATAAAACGATTTTTAAAAAATTCAGTCTGTGGAACCTTCCACGAGGTCAGGATGAATCAGAACTGACTTGATGTCAGTGGGCTTGGTTTGGGTTGAGACAGCCTAGGCATTGTCCAGTGTCCCTTGAGAGGGGCAGAATCACCCTGGTTAGAACCTGTATCCTAATTCTTTCTCCTCCTGCAGTGAATTCAATACAAAGATCAATGCAACTCATCACAGTGGAGTTGAGGCTCACTCTCAGCAACCCTGTAAGGAGAACAGAACTGCCCTGTTTCCAAGGAGCCAGGGTGGTGTAGTGGGTGACAAGTTGGCCTGCTAACCACCAGGTCAGCAGTTTGAAACCATCAGCTGCTCTGCGGGCAAAGAAGAGGTTCTCTTGTAAAGATTTAGTCTTGGCAACCCACAAGAGCCGGTCTACTCTGTCCTAGAGAGGCACTATGAGGTGGGATTGACTTGACGGCAGTGAGTTTGGTTTTCGATGGAAAGGGGTTTGTGTTAGATTGGGATGACAAGAGAAACAAATCCAGAGACACTCACATATGTGTAACAAAGCATTTTCTATCGAGAAGTAATTATAGATCAAGGACACATCCCCGCCCGGTCCAACTCAAGTCCATAAAGCCAACCCTAGTCCACAAGTCCCTCTGCTGACCCATGCAGTCACATGCAATGATGCAGAATGCAGGAAGGCCACAGGCTGGTGGGTGCAGAGTCTAATGGTGGTGGTAACAGGGCAGGGCTCTGGCAGAAGCCAGGGTCAGCCAGCAGGAAGGTGAAGGCAGAGACAGGGGTGGGACTGGAGGTTCCAGAACCCTCCTTATGAGAAGGCCAGGCTCACAAGGAGGCACCATCAGGCTGTGTGTGACCTGATTGATTGAATACCACCCATACACTTTTTTTTTTTTCTTTTTTAACCCATACACTTTTAAGCCCTTCAAGTTGATGTGAAATTATATAGGGACCACAGGTTTCCCAGGCCATAAATCGTGACAGGAGACTGTCATATCCTCTTGCCATGGGGGGGGAGGGGGGGTTCAAGTTGCTAGGCTCAAACTGGACTCTTCAGTTGAGGGGCAAGTGTCTAACCACTGCGCCACCAGGAACGAATGGTGACCCTGCAGAGCAGTATGTCCACGCCCAATCCCTGGAACCGGTGAATGTGCCCAAGGTCTTTGTCGGTGTGATTATGTGAAGGGCCTTGAGGGGAGAAGATCATCCTGGATTAGCTAATAAATCCAGTGACAGCGCCCTTATCAGAAGCAGAAGGTGCGGAGGAGACACAAGGACACTATGTAAATGGCATGGGGGGAGGGGTGTGGCCTCCTCTGGCATAGAGAGAGAGAGTGAGAGAGAGAGAGAGAGAGAGAGTGAGAGAGACCAGAGCTACCGACAAAGCTGGTTCCTATGGGCCAGAGGGCTTCAATCTTTTAGCCAATTCTGACCCAAACCTTCCCCAGTAGTTTGCGCTACTGCACTGCTGGGTTAGATAATCCGTTGCACTGGCACAGAGAGCTCTCAGACCATACTCACTGTCTGGGAGGGGGTCTGTTAGGGAAGTCACGGGTTACAATTCAGGACCAGGAATGATTTAGGATATAGTTCTTCAATCAAGATAGCCTCTTCTCTTCTCAGCTATACTGCTCTTTGAGCCTCAACTCCTCAGATCGCTTGACCTCGGCCCTTCTTGGGGACAAGTTGTGAAGCTATTTAACTCTGCTCATAAGTGCCACCAACACTCGTCTGTGAATGGCTTGTGTGTTGCTGGAATCTATGTCACTGGTATTTCCAGGACCAGCAGAGTCACCCAGAGTGAGCAGGTCTCAGCAGAACTTCCAGACTAAGAAAAGACGAGGAAGAAGGAATAACCTGTCCCCTTTGGAGGAATTAGCCACGGAAAACCTCATGGGTAGCCTTGAAATATCGTCAGATACTCAGGCCTAATGAATGGAAGCCGAATGGTGTCGGCGTGCCAGAGTTGTCATGTTGAAAGAATTTATGTGCAAAATACTGAATGAAGCAGGAAGCATCAAGGGAAGGTGGAAAGAATCCACAGTCACTGCACATTTCAGGAGACAGCATACAAGCAGGAACCAACGGTGCTGAAGGAAAAAGTTCAAGCTGCACTGAAGCATTCTCCGTAAACAGGGCTCCAGGGGCCGACGGGATGCCCACTGAAATGTTCCAGCAAGCGGATGAGGCACTGGAAGCACACTAACTCATCTGTGCCTGAAAATTGGGAGGACAGCTACTTGGACAACTGACTGGAAGAGCTCCATACTTGTACCCATTTCAAAGGAAGGTGACCCAAGAGAATGCTCCAATTATAGAAGAATATCACTGGTATCATACACCATGAACATTTTACTGCAGATCATCCAACCATGGTTGCAGCCGCACCTTGACAGGGAGCTGCCAGAAGTCCAGGCCAGACTCAGAAGAGGATGTGGAACAAGGGATATCATTGCTGATGTCAGAGGGATCTTGGCTGAAAAGAAAGAATACCAGAAATACGTTCATTTGTGTTTTACTGACTATGCAAAGGCTTTGCGTGAATCCCACAAACGATGGATAACCTTGAGAAAAACGGGAATTCCAAAACACTTCCAAATGCTCACGCAGAGCCTGTCAACTTGGCTAGGCTCTGATTCCTAGGATCATGGTTATTCACCATTTTCTAACATTTTGATATAATTATCCTCCACTGTATGTCTTGCAAATCCTGACTTCCGTGTTAATGAGGCAGGAGTGTGTTATGTTCATGGGAAGTAAGTTATATGTTATGGAAACGAGGCAGACTCAGGGTAGGGCCGAGCCATCTCTAGTTGTCACACTCAAGTCATCCAAGAAAGAGCTGAAGTACACCTAGAGAGAGGGGCCTGACCACCACCAAGAAGATAGGGAAATGGACTCAGGGATCTCTGCTGCTGAGAACCTCCTAGGCCCAGGAGACAGAGCTCTACCACTGGCGACAGAGGAAACTAGCAGCAGAGGCCGACCTTGAAGACTGGGAGATGGGGTCCCTGATCCAGGAAGCGAGAGAGCTGAGCCCCTTCGGCTTCAGAGGAGGGGCATGCCTCTGGGCACCTACTGATGTTGCTGTCAGGTGTGCTATCAAGCGGAGTTTACAACAGCGACCGGATTTACAACAGAAGGAAACAATGCGGGGTCCTGAGCCATCCTCAGAATTATTCCTAAGCGTGAGCCCAGTGTAGCAGCCACTGTGGCGATCCATCTCCTTGAAGACGTTACTCTTTTTGGCTGCCCCTCTACTTTACCACACCCGATGTCCTTCTCCAGGGACTGATCTCTCCTGACACCACGTCCACAGTGCGTGAGAAATCTCGCCTCCAAGGAGTCCTGGTCTCTCAGGAGCATTCGGCTACGTTTCTTCCAAGAAAGATTTGTTTGCTCAGATTTGTTTGCTCTTTTGGCAGTCCATAGTCCTTTTAATATTCTTCGCCAACACCTTGATGCAAAAGCATTGATTCTTCTTCGATCTTCCTTATTGATCTTCCAACTTTCACACACATACGAGGCAGCTGGAAATACCACGGCGTGGGTCAGGTGCCCTCAAAGTAGCATCCTATTTCCCAAACGCAGTTAGTCGTCTCATCTCTCGACTGCGGCTTCCACGACCACTGATTGTGGACCCTGGACTTCAACCTTGTTTCCATGGATCATGATGTTGCCTACTGGTCCAGCTGTGAGGATCTGGGTCTGCTTGACATTGAGGTACAATCTACATGGAAGGCTGCAACCCTTGATCTTCGTCAGCAAGTGCTTCAAGTCCTCTTCACTCTCAGCACGCAAGGTTGTGTCCTCTGCATACCGCAGGTTTGCAGGTAAGCCTCCCTCTGATCCTGATGTTGCATCCTTCTTCTGGATCGTAAAGATTTACAGCCTCGAAAACCCTATGTCGTGTTTCTCTGCGTCTGGATCAACTTGATGGCAGTGAGTTGGGGTGGTTTCTGCTTGTTCGTCACTTACTTGGTCCTATTTTTCTTGTGGTGAACTCCTCCGGCTACACTTTCCCAGCATTTTATTTCAACGTGTGCTTCCCGTCAGCTGCTCTTCTGGAAAGTTCCATGAGCTCCTGTTGCTGAGGCAGAGGTCCTCCTGGCAGCCCTTGTAGTCACTTGGGTCATTTTGAGCCCATCCTGGGCACAAGGTCCATTCTTGGAATGAGAACTCCAAGTGGGCCAGCCTGGTCTCTCTGGTTCTCCGTGGCCCAGATCTGGTACATGGTGAGCAATCAAGACACTTCTCATGCCCAACCGCTCTGTCTTGCCACCAAGCAAGGTGCAGAAGTGGCCGAGCTTGGTCTAACCGCCAAGCCTGAGTTTTACCTGCCTGCCTGGGCCTCAGTGTCTGGTTCTGGGCAGTGGGGACAGGGAAGCTCCTCAGACCGCATCCATCCTTTGTAGGAAGGTGGCTGGGTCGCCTTTGGAAATCTGTACTCTTTCAGGGCTTAGGAAGGCCAAACCAAGAACCCTTTGCTGCTGAGTGGATTCCTCTCCGGGTGATCTGCCTGGGCAGGCTTGAGTGGCGCGCACACCCAGGAATCTCTTAGGAAGGCGGTCAAAGGTGGGTGCTGCTGGATAGGGGAGGCCCTGTTCCCACGGAAGGCACTGGGGGGCCCTATCGTCAAAGGGACAAGTGGCCACGGAGAACAGCTTGGCCAAGTGGGTGTGCGGGCCTCTGTTTGAGGGCTGGAATTAATTTGGGAAAAGCCATGTTTCCTGAAGCGTTGGGATTTGGGAGTTGCAGATGTGGGACTTCCCTGGACTGTGTGGAGGGGGGGGGGAGAGACTGTCAGGAGGCACACTTGGTCAGGGACTCTTGGACTGGGAGAAGTGGGCGTGGGGGTGGGGAGTTGGGCTAGAGGGTGGGGGTGGGGATGCTGTTGCTGCTGATGGGCCCCATGGAGTCTTACTGTTGGTGACCACGTGTTACAGAGCAGCTGGGCTACCCTCTCCTTCTTGGCTGCAGTCTCCACTGAAACCGATTGCCAAGCCTCTCTCCCGCAGTTCCTTTGGCCAATCTCAGGAAGCAGTGGTGAGGCCCAAGGGGGACGGAGAGGGGGCCGGGGAAGGGAGGAAGGAGAGGGTAACAAAGGGAGGAAGAGGGGTAACAAAAGGGGAAAGGGAGGGGAGGAGGGAGAGGAGAAAGAAGAGGTGGTGGAGGAGAAAGGGGTGGGAAGCGGGGAGGGGAGGATGAGAGACAGGAGATGAGAAAGGTAAGAAGTGGAGGGGAGGGAGGGAGCAGAGGCAGAGCGAAGGGGAGGAACAGAAGGAGGAAAAGGAGGAGGAGGCCTGGGCTGTGAAGGAGGGCAGGAGGAGGAGGGGAATGGAGGAGGAAGGGGGGCAATCAGCTGACATTTGTGAAGGAAAGCACCCCGTGCCCCGGGAGACAGAACAAGCTCGTCCTTGGTGTCTTTATCTGTAAAATGGGGTCATCTTGCTTGGGGGACCTGGCAGGAAGAGCTGGCAGCTGTCCTCAGGGGTCACTGCTGACTGCTAACCCCTGGTCCAGAAAGCCTGGCCCCCCATGACACCTCCCTGGGCTCCCCAGAGGCCAAATGGCACAGTGAAGGCTTCGTGCCCGCTGGGGTTTGTCCTCCAAAGGCCGCTGGAAGCTGGCCCTGGCCGCCTCCCAAGGCGAGAGCTGGGATGGTCAGCCAAGCAGGGGAAAAAACAAGTGGGGGAGGGATGGGCAGGGGGCAGAGGAGGGAGCTGCTTGTGGGCACTGCTGGGAGAAGGACCCTGGAGTCTGAGGAGAGAGCAGCCCTGAAGGCGGCCAGCCTGCAGCCTCACTGCTCCGCTGGGTTCCAGGGCTCTGGCCTTGGCTGCCCAGGCCCAGACAGCCCAAGCAGTCCTTGCCTACCACCTGCCTGAGCCTCTGGGCGCCCGAGAGGGTCTGTGCACAGTTTCAGGTCAGCCAGGGAACAGGGACGTGGGGAGCTGAACCCAGGGTCTGGATTAGGGTTTTGGGGGTGTCTGGGTCAGAGTTTAAGACAATGGGATACAAAGAAACCAATCATTGGGCCCATCAGCACATTTATTTAAGTCAGTCCCTGGTGTGTGGACTCTGGGCTCTCAAGGTATATCTGACATTTATTTAAATGACAAGATTTGGGGGTATGGATTTAGGATTAGCAGCGGCCCCAGAATATAGGGGGTGGCAGATAGCCCACCCTCCTAGAAGACAGGCCTGAGGAAAGTTTGGGGTTGGAACTTCGGGCCTTTGGGGCATTGGTGGGAGCCCCTGTGGCATGTATAATGGTTATGTGTTGGGCAGCTAACCACAAGGTCAGCTGTTCGAAACCACCAGCTGCTCCATGGGAGAAAGACGAGCCTTTCTACTCCCGTAAAGTTAGAAGAACTCACTGCCATGGAGTCAGTGCTGACTCATAGTGACCCGCTGTGGGTTTCAAGACTGTAACAGGAGTAGATAGCCTAGTTTTTATCCTGAGCAGCTGCTGGTGGTTTTGAACCCCCAGCCATGAGGATTGCAGCCCAACCAGTAACCAGTACACCACCTGGTACCCACTGGGGCAGTTCTACTGTGTCCTCTGGGGCCGCTGTGAGGCAGCATTGACTTGATGGCAGTGAGCTTGGTTTTGAGTTGGGACACTGGCATGGCTGGTGGGGTCTGGGGAGGCATGAGTGAGCAGCACCAGTGACAATGACAGTGGGCGTGACCCGAAAATGTCTGCATAGCAGAAATTCATTATTTTAAATTCAAAAATCCCTACAGTTATTCATAATAGCAAGCATATCTTTGTCATACGTCCAGCATACACGTATCAATATGGCAGCACGGCTAAAACTGTGCTCACTTACTTTTGTCACTTTCTCCTGCACTCCCTCAGAGTTGTCACTATGCTCCATTACAATATGCTTGCACAAGCCTACTATAAGCACGCCCTGCTTCTTCTTTGATGCCAGTGTTCTTGTAGTCATTGACTTTCATCAAATGTTCCACTGTTATAGTAAATAAGGTCAGTGGTTCAAGCCCCCCAGTAGCTCTTTGGGAGGAAGATGAGGCTGTCTGCTCTCGTGAAGACTGACAGTCTCGGAGACCCTCTCTATAGAAGAATTATGAGCTGGGCCACTCATGAGGCTTCCTGTGTGAATATTTACAGTCTCAAACCCCCACAGGGGCAGTTCTACTCTGTGCTGTGGGGTCGCTCTGAGTGGGAATCCACTCAGTGGCAGTTGAGTGAGATGAGTTGGACTTGGCTCCATCTATGGGGTGTGTTTGGTTGTTTTGATATTATGGTAAGTAATATTTGTGAACCTAAATCGGTTAACTTTTTTGAGAATGAAAAAGGAGACAAACTTTGTAAAGTTTCTGTTCGGTTACTACTAATATACTGTAATTCAACCTAGAGATTTTTAAAAAGTTTATTATGAATTAGTGAATAGATTGTTCTAAACACTTTTGTAGTGTTTATTTAAAAAAAAGTTCACTGCCATTGACTCTATGCCGACTTATAGCAACCCTATAGGTCAGGGTAGAATTGTCTCTGTAGGATTCCGGGACTGTAATTCTTTATGAGAGTAAAAAGCCCTTTCTTCCACGAAGCAGTGGTGGTTTCGAACTGCTGACCTTATGGTTAGCAGCCAATGAGTAGCCACTACACCTCTACACTTGTAGATAACCTAAGAAATATTGCATTTAAGCAATTTACAGCTAGATTACCTATTTCTCCATGATTAGAATTTGTCGCACTCATTACTAAGCTATCTATACGGTCTGGTAGGAGACAGATCCCTGGGAGGGACACTAATTAGTTATGGACACCACCCCCTCAGGCATCTGGAATGTCGGAGACGTGCTTGGGGTTTGGATTGAGACAGGCTGGGCCAATAATCCAGCTCAGGCGGGTCCTGGTCAGAGCTCGGATTTCCTCATCCCGGGGCAGCGGGTTCTTGAGTGACATCCGGTACCCGGGCAGGGCGTGGCGCGCCAGGTGTTGGACACCCGTGTTAGCTAGATTTTTGGAGCCGGAGAACCTTGGTTGCCATGGAGAGAGCAGTGGTCCCCCCTCCCTCTATGGGCCAGCCGTTCTAGCCCCCGCGGTCTCGTTGGCCGGCGTCTCTCTGGCCCCGGCCAATCTCTATGGTCCGGGCTCCGGAAAAAGGCGGGTGGGCCCCAACGATCCGACCGAGGAGTCCAGAGCCAGACAGGTTGGAGGAGAGCCTTAAGGCAGGCTGGGCGGGCAGGTGGGGCGGGGCCTAACCGCCAGGTGGACCAGATGGAGGCCCAGAGGGTGGTGACCAGACCGAGGCAGGAAGGCGGGGCCGTGGATGGGGTGGAGCCTGGACCCGGCTTGGGGGCGGGGCTTAAGAGAGCTGGGCGGGGTCCGCGCTCCATAGGCGGAGCCTATAGAGGGGTGGGGCTTTCCTTGTGGGCGGAGCCAAAATCCGAACCTTCGGGGTGGTAATGAAATAAGGGGCGAGGAAGTCCAAGCGTGGAGGAAGGGAAGGGCGGGTGCCAGGCTTGAAATAGGAAGGACTGGCCTACCTTGGTTTCCTGGAGGCGGAGCCAAGGCGCGGGGCGGTGGTTTGGGGCCTGGCACTGAGGGAGAGTAAGGCATGGGGCGGGCCTGTCCAGTGATTGACAGTGGGGCGTGGCCCTGGCCAGGAGCTCGGATGCCTAGAGCCAAACAAGGGAGGGAATCTGAGTCCGGGGGCGGGTCCTCATCTGGGGACGTGGCCAGTCCTAGGCCTGGGGGCGGGGGCGGGTTCAAAACAAGGGCTCGGCGGGAGGCCAAGGATGTCACCGGAGCTGGACCCCGGGGGTGGAGCCGCGCCCGGAGACAGAACCAATGTCAGGCCCGGTAGGGGCGGAGCCTAGCGAGGGGCGGGGTCGGGGGGGTTCCCCTAGGCCGCGGCCTGAGGGCTCCTCTGCTCCGCAGGATGCGGGCTCCGGGTGCGGGCACGGCCTCCGTGGCCTCGCTGGCGGTGCTGTGGCTGCTGGGGCTCCCGTGGACCTGGAGCGCGGCGGCGGCGCTCGGCGTGTACGTGGGCGGCGGCGGCTGGCGTTACCTGCGCATCGTCTGCAAGACCGCGAAGCGGGACCTCTTGTGAGTGCGCCCCGGGCCGGAGGAGGGGCGCCCTGCGCGCTGGGGGCGGGCCGAGGGGGACTGCACCGGGACTTGTAGGGCTCTAAGGGGCTGGGGGAGGAGCTTTGCGGCTTTCGGGGAGGGTCTCTAGGGGGAGGTTAGTGATTCCTGGGTGTTGAGGCTGTTTGGGAGACCTTGGTGGTTTGGGGAGCAAGCTCGAGGGCTGCTTGGGGGCTTGGAGGTCTTTGGTCCGGTGGTGGGGACTTCGGGGAGTGGGACTCGGCAATCCGTGGGGGCTTGGGGAACCCACTGGAGACGTGAAGTGTGGATATCTTCAGAGACCCTAGTTAGCCTCCCAGCTAAGAATCCTTTATATAGGGCTTTCTGGAAAGGAGCTGCCTGGGAAGGGTGTGTGTCCTCCAGAACACTTATAGGTGCCTGCTGCCCCCTCCAGAGCCCTGGTGGCACAGTGGGTTAAGCGAAAAGGTTAGCAGTTCAAACGCACCCGCAGCTCCGCAGAAAGATGACGATTTCACCTGCTGCCGTAGAGTGACAGCCTCAGAAACCCACAGGGCAATTCTGCCCTGCCCTCGAGGGGCAGCTGAGTCCCAATCACCTCGATGACAGCAGGTTTGGCTTGGGTTTGGGCTGGTCCCTGGGGGGCACACCGAGTTGGCCTAAAGGTGGTTTGAACTCATCCAGCAGCGCATGGAAGAAAGGCCTGGCAATGCCTCAGTGAAGATCAGAGCCCAGAGAACTCCTTGGAGCAATTCTGTGTGGTACCCGGGGCTTTGGTATTTCCTGCCCATTTTTGCATGTCCCCTGCTCTCTTGGGAGAGCTTGGGGTAGGGAGTGAGTCTGTGTGGCACTTTGGGGGCCCCGATGTATTCCAGGGCCTGTTAGGGGCTGTCTGTGACAGGGCTCTCTGGGGGACTCTGCTGCCTTCCTTGGAGCGTCTCTAGCGGTGATTGAGGGCTTTTCTCAAAGGAGCTGTTGGGGTCTTCCTGCAGAGGGCAGAGCTTTGAGGGGAGTAGGCATTGCTTGGGAGCCTTGTCACAGGGGACCTCCAAATGTGAACACTCTCCCAGCTTCCTCCAGGGCACCCTCCTCTAGTGGAAAGTGGAGGCGCTGAGCCTACTTTAAGGTTGGGGAAACTGAGTCTCAGGGAGGTGGAGTCAGGAGGAGCCCCACTGTAGGTTGACCCTGTTGAAACTTCTGGAACCTGTGCGTCCTCATGCCCACAGCCCCAGCCTCTCCCCTCCCTCCCCTGGGGTCTTTTTGCATTGGCATCTGACCCTGCCCTCTGCTCACCTCCTTCCATAGCTCCCCATCTCCTGAAGGAGGGCTCAGCTTGGTGCTAGCCCATGCACCATCCGCATCTCACCCCACCCCACCCCCGCCACCCTACTTCCATCCAACCCCCACATCAACACAGGCTGTTCTCTTGGCCCACACACTGACCCTCATTCTGCCTGGTGATGCCCACTGGGGTCCCTTCTGCCACGTCCCTTCCCAGTTCGTTTTCACTCTGTCCCCACAATGGCTCATCTTCAGCCTTGCCTCCCTCCCCTCCCCTCCCCGTGCACACTGGTCCAGCTTCCTCACTGGTCCTGAAACACAGGAGCTCTGTTCCTGCCTCAGGACCTTTGCATCTACCCTTGCCTCCGCCTGGATCGCTTTACCACCTGCACCTCCAGAGAGCCACCCTCTGGCTCCTATGTAGACCGTCCCCCTGTCACTCACTGGCTAAATGGCTGACCTGCCAAGAGCTTCCCTCCATGTCAAGTGTCCTGCTAAGTGTTTTCGTGTCAGGGACCTAACTGAGTTCACGCAACCCCAGGGTGATGTGTTCTAGGAGTGCCAGAATTTTGTGTAGATCCCTTAAGGATAAGAACCAGGATCCGCATAAAACTGGGTCGCGTGAGGTGGAGCGCTGACCTAGCCTACTTTCCACCTTCTTTACCTCTTCTGACGCTGGCCATCATCCTCTCCCCAACACACACACACACACACACACACACACACTCACACACACCACCCCCCCCATTTCTCTGCTGGGCTTGAAGTGGTTCACTAAGGAAGTAGCAGAGGCGCCGAGGCAAAGCCTGGACGGCTCCCCCAAAGTGGAGAGCACTTTTCTCCCCTTTTCAGTGAGGGGGGTCCGTTCCCTTCTCTCCGCATACCCTCTCTGGGCTGCAGGCCTCTCCACTGCCCACTGGCCCAGCTCACAGGCAGCTTAGAGGAGTTGTTCAGCTCTCAGCTCTGTTCCTGGCTGCGGGCTTTTACTGCCACCACCAACTGCCACAGGACTCCTTCCAGGCTGTGTGGCAGTCTCCCCTGCAGGCCTCTCGCTGTTTCAGTGCTGTAGCTCTTGACCTGTTACAGCTCTTTCAGGCGCTTCCTCCCCTCCCCTCCCCTCCCTTTCCGTACGTCAGCTGCTCCTCTCTTCTTTTGTCCTGCCTTCCTTTCAGAAACCGCAGGGGGCTGGCTGCATCTTTAACTCCTGGTAGGTTTCAAGACCAGGTCCTCCCAGCAGGGCCACAAACTGACCAATCTTCCCGGCTGTGATAGTTGTGATATTTGCATAGTCTGTAAAGTCACTTCGTTTGCTTAGTATACTGACCAATCTTTGCAAGGCAGAGCCCAATCAAGGAACAGGCTGTAGTCCAGGACCAGGCAAAAGTATCAAATGCCAATCAAGCTGGACAAAAAGCAACAAACCCTTTGTGTGGGGAAAACTAGGCCAAAGGTAGATCCCCATAGCTTAAGGGACTAATCTCTGAAACCACTTCCCCAAGGAACCGATGCAAAAGGGCCCCCTCTAGGAGCAAGTTTCCTCGCAGGTAGGTGGGTACCTGTCTCCAGTTCATAGGTGAGCACAGGTTCTATCACTTCTGTAAGGTGCCCCAGGTGGAGGAGGAGTCGAACCAAATCGGCATGGCCGTAAAGCTAGACTTGTAGCTACTAGTAACACTTATCACTTGAGGGATCATTTTGTTATCTCTTTTCTTCAGCTTTTGGGCCGGTTTTTCCCCTCTGGGCTTTGCAGGTGCAGACAGACGATGTTAGTCTTGGCATCGCTGTAGCCCAGCGCCAGGCCGGCACCCAGCTGGAGCAACTCACTGCTGTCACATTGATTCCAGCTCAGTCACCCTACGTGTCAGGGTAGAACTGCCCTGTGGGTTTGCAAGACTGTAACTCTCCATGGAAGTAGAAAGCCTCATCTTTCTTCTGAGGAAGCAGCTCGGAGGTTTGACCTGCGGAGATGCGGAGCCCAGCACATTGCCCCCTGCACCACCAGGGCTCCTTTTAACAGGAGCATAGGATGTGTTTATTACATAGAGAGGTCTTTACTTCCTCCTTGGGCTTCCCCTGTCACCCCTTCTGCTCAGTGCCACCTCTATAACTCAACTCACTGCCATCGAGTCATGCCAACTCGTAGTTCTGGCCCTGTGAGTTTCCAAGACTGTAGCACTTTACAGGAATAGAAAGCCTGGTCTTTCTCCTGCTGAGTGGCTGATGGTTTCAAATTACTGACCCAGCTGTTAGCAGCACAACGTGTAACCACTATGCCCCAGGGCTCTCTATGCCTCTGTAAATCTGCCCCCCCCCCTGGTCTCCCATGGGACCTGGGCCAGAAACTGGGTTCATGCCAAGTCCCTGACATAGAGCTGCACACAGTGACCACTATCAGTTGTTCATGCAGTTTCCAGCTCTCAGGGACCCCATGTTGTCCGAGTAGGACTGCATATTCTAGGGTTTTCCGTGGTTGGTTTTTTGGAAGCAGATCACCAGGAGTTCATTCCAAGTTGCCTCTGGGTGGACTTGAACATCCGGCCTTTTGGGCAGTAGCTTTGTGTGTTCTTGGTGTGTACCACCCAGGGATGGAAGAAAGAATGGCTCATTAGCAAAGGATTCTTCTGCCAAAGGCAGCCCTAGCGATGACCTCCAATGATCCCACCCACTATTATCCACATTCTTGCACAGCCCCTCCCTGTGTGTATGTGAGGGTGGGGTGTGCGGGAACCTAGGGAGTTGCTTCTAATACCACACAGCAAAGGTCAAGGCAGGGGACTTCTAGGATTAGGCCTTAAAAAGACTGGCTTGCATTCTGGGGTCTCTTCCCCCCAGTGTGTGTCAACTTTTGTTGACAGTTATATAGTGATGTCATTTGGCAGTTCTGTAGTCCTTCCCCGTGCATTGATCTGATGGGACCAGGCAAGCAGGTTGAGGTCGAGGCTGGGAAGGACCATCTGTACTCCGCTCAAAGGCCTAATCCGATGGAAGGAGCTTTTCCCCGAAGAAAGAAGAGCCTTGAACTGTAGGCCTGGGGTCCCTGCGCTGAGAATCTCCCAGGCCCAGGGGAATATTGATGCCAAGACACACGGAGCTCTCCAAGGGATTGCTGGCCTACAGATGTTGGAAGGAGACAAGGCCCCTCACTAGGCTGGCACCCTGACTTTAGACCTCTCACCCCCTAAACAAGGGAAGAGATTTATTTCTTCACGCCACCCAGGGCTAGTCTTCCTCTCGTAGTAGCGCTGGAGAGCTAAGACCTGCAGGAAGCCCCAGGCAGAGGCTCAGGAGAGTGGGGGCAGGATGGATCCACCCAGTGAAACCTGGCTGACACACCTGGTCTGCAGCCTCATGCTAGATTCAGGGCCAGAGCCCCCAGCTGAGCTGCTCAGGTTCCGGACCCACGAAACCTTTGACATTCTAATCCCATGTTGTTTTCAGCTGGTTATTTGCCACATGACAGAAGCTAACTAACGAGCCAGGCCCTGTCATAACCTTCCCACGCTCAAACCAAGCCAGCTGCAATCTAATCACCTCCAACTCCCGGCGACCCCTGTGTGTCACAGTAGAACTCTGCCCCACAGCTTCATCACTGCTGTTTGGGTGTAGGCCACCTGGCCTTTCTTCCGCGGGGCTTCAGGGTGGACTCAAATACCCACCCTTTGGGTCACAGCGGAGGATGTTAACCATTTGCACCACTCCGGATGGGACCAAAACCCAAACAC